GAGAGTGGGTTTGCAGACATGCTTCCCTGACCTGCGTCAACCCCAACGGGACGCCCCTTTGGGGTCGAGGCCCAGACAGCAGAGGTGTGTCCTGCCCAGCTCCCCTGCGCTGGCCCCAGGCCCCGAGGAAGGTGAGGGAAGCTGGGCTGAGTTCAGTGGCTTCCACTCCTACCTGGTGGTTAGGACACACCCTGCAGGATTCCCCACCCCCACCTTCATCTACGAATAGGCCAAGGAGTTGCCTCCAATTCACTGGTGCACGTGAGACCGCAGAGGTGGAGGCTAGCTCTTCTCATCGAAGTTAGGAGGAGACAGAAAAGGCTGTGGGTAAATGACCCATAGGACAGACCCCCAGGGCAGAGGCCCGGCTACAGTCCCACGCCTGCTCAGACCCAAGAGGCCTGGGAGCACCCGGGAGGGGGACGTCCTCCTGTGATCGGCAAAAGGGAAATGTTTTCTTGAACGTGTGTGAGACCGCCTGCGGAGGTGCTGTGCGTTATCACTCTGTCGCTGCGGGAAGCAACAGCAAAATCGTCCCTGCCTTCAGTCCGACAGAGTATGGCAAAGTCAAAGAATTTCAGCCGCAGACGTGTATGTCAGCTGTTTTTAACGTCTGGCAGATGAGATGTTGATGATAAAAAAATATATTTTTTTTTTCTGAAATGACAGAGGAAAACACCTGTGTTAGTGCCCACGCTGTCGGTCGTGGGCGGGAAGGGCTGCAGACCCACGGTTTGCTCTGTTCATGACACTGCCTGATGACCGTGAGGTGCAGGTGCACCTTGCTTTACTCCCACAGACTCATCTTCTACGCCTGCGAAGAGGGGTGCAGGTGAGACACTAACTTGCCTGTGCAAAGAGCTAGAGTTAGCGCATTGTGACGCACCCACGTGTTGGAGAAGGTGGAGGAGCTGCCTCCAGGAATTGTGCGGGGCCGTGCGGACAGGCTCTCTGGTAACCGCTGTGTGCTGTCATCCTGGAGAAACCACTTCAGACATTTCAAGCAAAGGAAATCTAATGTATTAACACCATACTGGCTTCAGAAACGTCATGTGTGCATGTGTGTATGTGTGTGCGTGCATGTGTGTGTGCATGTGTGTGTGTGCATGTGTATGTGTGCACATGGTATTGTTAAAGATGCAAACGTGTAAAGGAGAAGGATGGGCACGGGGAGGGCGGCATCCAGTGATGCCCCAACCAGGATTCTGAATGGACTATAGAGCATGCTCTCATATCCTGTTATTATATATTGACAAATTATAGCTGTATATATTTATGGGGTACAAAGTGACGTCATGATTCTTGAATATAATGCAGAATGATTAAGCAAGCTAATTAACCTAGCCATCACCGCAAATATTTGATATTTTTCGTGATGAGAACATCTGAGATTTACTCTAAGTGACTTTGTGGTCTCATCTCCTCTCAGTTCACCTCCACCCAACACCCACCGAGCCAGCTAGAGGAAAGAAGAGAAATTCATGAGGAAAAGAAAGTAGCCAGAAAATTGTTGGAATAAGAAAAAGGAGAGAAGGTGAGGAAAAGAAGAGAAATAAGATTTAAAAAAAGAGAGAGAGAGAAATACGACAAAGTATTTATCTATACAAAGCTACTGCACATGAACACGCAAAGGCAGCCCAGTGGGTGGCAGGGCACGGCCCAGCCCCCCTGCCCTGCAAGTCACTCCCACTGCTGTCAAAAATCCAGAGTAGGGCCGGGCGTGGTGGCTCACGCCTGTAATCCTAGCACTTTGGGAGGCTGAGGCGGGCGGATTGCTCGAGGTCAGGAGTTCGAAACCAGCCTGAGCGAGACCCCGTCTCTACCAACTAAAAATGTATATACAAAAAATTAGCCGGGCATGGTGGTGCATGCCTGTAGTCCCAGCTACTCGGGAGGCTGAGGCAGGAGGATCGCTGAGCCCAGGAGTTTGAGGTTGCTGTGAGCCAGGCTGACGCCACGGCACTCACTCTAGCCTGGGCAACAAAGTGAGACTCTGTCTCAAAAAAAAAAAAAAAAAAAAAAATCCAGAGCAAAAGTTAACAGTGAAACAGACACAGAAGCAAAAATGAGAGGTTGGGGGAATAAAACCTTTGAAACTCAGGTCACAGACCTCAGACCTGCCTTGAGCCTTTCTGACCCGTTGGATAAATCTCATCTCCATGTTCTCGCACGGACAAATGAAAAGGTGAAAGGAATGGCCTTTCAGGCTACAATATAAACCCCCCATGTCTCATATCCTGATACCCCCAAAAGATGTGCTTGTGTGTGTGTTTGTTTGCACACACACACGTGTCCATTTGGGTGGGTTTGGGTGGGTTCGTGTGTGTACACAGTGGGAGGAAGATGCAGATGATCGTATCTTGCTGTCATATTCCATACGTGGCCTTGAAAAGCACCTGCAATCGTAGCCCTAGCACCTGATGTGACTGTATTTGGAGAGAGCACCTTGAAGGAGGTGATTAAGGTTAAATGGAAACAGGATATTTATGCATCTTCCAGAAACTGCATTTAAGGATACTGTCCATCGTGTTGCACATAATGCATATACATAATACTAAATAATTGTCTCGGCCGGGCGCGGTGGCTCACGCCTGTAATCCTAGCACTCTGGGAGGCCGAGGCGGGCGGATTGCTTGAGGTCAGGAGTTGGAAACCAGCCTGAGTGAGACCCCATCTCTACCAACTAAAAATGTATATACAAAAAATCAGCTGGGCATGGTGGCACATGCCTGTAGTCCCAGCTACTCGGGAGGCTGAGGCAGGAGGATCACTTGAGTCCAGGAGATTGAGGTTGCTGTGAGCCAGGCTGACGCCATGGCACTCACTCTAGCCTGGGCAACAAAGCAAGACTCTGTCTCAAAAAAAAAAAAAAAAAATTGTCTCTAAGAAAAAGTTTGTGCCAGGTGTGGTGGCAGGCACCGGTAGTCCTGGCTTCTCAGGAAGCTGAGGCAGGAGGATCCCTTGAACCCAGGAGTTTGAGACCAGCCTGGGTAACACAGTGAGACTCCCGTCTCAAAAAAAAAAAAAAAAAAGTGAGGCTCCTGCCTATTACTGACAAGTGCTAGGATTATAGGTGTGAGACTCTGGGCCTGGCCTGAAACTTATGTAGGAAGGAAGGGAGGGAGGAAGGAAGGGAGAGAGGAAGAAAAAAAAAAAAAAAAAAAAAAAAAAAGAGAGAGAGAAAAGAAAAAAAAAGTTTGTCTCTTATAATGATTAGTGTTTCTTGTTATTAGATATTGAAATTATATAACTCATTATTTTTAGCTTTGCTTCTGCTCCAAGAAAGGTCAGAGCTAAATTCTGTGCTCATGACATAAATAATAAGAAGGTAAAACACAATAGATTGTTAATTTTTTTAACTTCTCAGGGAAATAGAAGTGTAGCCCCCACCAAAGGTGTGCATTAAATGGTTAGAGAGAAAACCTCAGAATATTGTAGCCAGGGAGGCTTTTTAGATTTTGTATATTTGAGGGCCAGAGAATGATGTTTTTTGAATAGTAAAGGTTTTTTTGAACTAGTAAAAATTACAGTTGACCTCGAGCTGGGTGACATGCAGGTATTGTCCTGAACCTTTGCACATTGCCTCGTCGTAATCCTTACCAGGGTCACCTACATATTTTCATCCTCATATACAGAAGAGCAAACAGAAGTTCAATGAGAGACAGCTCGTACTGCGGGAACTCCGGCCGCCAGGGCACCGACGCCCACTTTCACCCTGGTGTGGCACCTGCTCCCGGGCAACAGGAGGCAGGTGCTCAGTCTCTGCGCTCCGCCACGAGACCAGGCCCTGAGGCCACGGGAGGAGCAGCCTCTTACCCAGTCAGCTCTGGACAGAGGCATCGCTCTTCTGAACTATGCCAACCCAGTTTCCCACGGGTCACAAAGGCATGCGTGTGCATGTGTGTTAAAGCAAAAGTCCGTTGCTTACTAGAGAAGCTGTTATTTGGGGACTTTCTTTGCATGATATACCATAGCAGGCTGAAATAACCATGCTAAAAAAAAAAACAACCAAAGGTGCCCCACTGTGATGTCAGAGTAACATTAATCTGCTCAGATCCACAGACCGCCCACTTTGAATCGCGTTGTGCAATTTCGGGAGAAACCGCAAAGCTAAAGGTTCTGACATCCCGGCATCTACTTTTCCTAGAAGTAAAGCAAAGCAACATAAAAACTTACCTTATAGGGCCAGGTAGTCTCTGAGTATATGGAATCAAGTCATACATGGTCAACTTTGGAACTGACACACACCTACTCTTCAATAGTGGCGTACAAACTTCTCTCTCTGGGGCGGAAGTCCTCCTCACTCCCTGCAGTGGCACGATACAGCTATGGGAGAATTTCACAATAATATCGCAATATATATTTAGACACAGAGAGAGAAAGTGTGTGCACACACACATACACGCCTACATGCCTCCTAACCTTACTTCCAAGGACACCTTTTATTATTAATATATTTTTCTCTATGGACCCAAAGATTTAAAGACAAGCCACATTTATTGATATTCCCCCTACTTAATAATCTATTAATAACGGCCCTAGCCACTATCTAAACTGATCCTTTGATTTCTGATTGATGTGATCTACCAGTTCGAAATTACTTTAGGCAAAAGAAAACTGTTTTAGTGATCCTATATTGTAGGAGTTCTTAAACTGGAATCCACAAGCTTCCTAAAACATGCAAATTTATTATTTGGTACATACCTTCAGGAGTATATTTGGAATGTGGCTCTCAGGGGGATTTGTGATCCCATACGCTTAAGTGTCACTGCTAAATAACCTCATGATATGGTATTTGAATATCATTAGAATTCTTCACATCCTGGTTGCTTCTAGCAGTAATTAAAACCTGCCAAGCTTTGTCAACCCCTGGGAATTCCAGAGCCTTAGCTGAGCACCATTCTCACCAGATGAGAAACCATCTCATGTGAGTTTTAAATGCCTCAGTGATCTCTTCCTGACCAGTTTTCAATATTCTGCTCAGAAAGAAACACAAGTCATTGAACTTCTCTTTTATTTAAGCATTAAGAAACTGTAGCACAGTGACTTAGAAAACTTTCTTGAAATGTCATTAATAGCAATGAACAGACATGTGTCATGTGTATAACCTTTTTTACTTTTTATTAAGGTTCACTAACCAGGGAAATATAAAGGTCCTACTCATTTGTTTTTAAAGTGAAGAGCAAGGCACACAAACTCTATTTAACAAACACACATTAGAAAAATGTGCTTAGTTTTGTAGTGTGGGCAGTTAAGAAAGGGGGATGGGGTGAGGATCCTGGAGGACAGGGTGGGGAAGGGGAGGAAAGGGATTCCAGCAAAGCAACAGACGGGGCACACAGGTACGCACAGGTATCCACAGGTACACACAGGTACACACAGGTACACACACAGGTGCAGAGACAGACCCACGCACTGCCACAGAGGCTCAGGTCTGGAAGACATAAAGATGCTTCATGTTGTCTGTCCCCTTAGGACACCACCAGGAAAGTCTTCAAAATGTTTTCGCTGTTACCATCACTGAGGGTGGAGTCCGGGCTACTTGTATTTGCATTAAGTGCGAGATGAGCGCAAGCCGTGCCGCTGCCCACCTTTGGGCAGGGCAGACCCACTCCCGGCCCGCCCTCCGGTCTGCAGGCCCTGTGCCCAGCACAGGACTGAGCTCTGCAAGGGTCATCGGGGTGGGGTGGGGTGGGGACAGGAGCATTGACAGCCACTCTGGCAAGCAGGGCTAACTCTGCCCCTCTGTTATTAATATATTCATTTTAAGTAAAAGAGAACATTATCTCCCAACTCAAATAGGGGCCAGAAAAGGAAGTTATTCAGTGGGTGGGTTTTGTCTCTGCAGTTCACGTGGCGGCTGACCCAGCTCCTGCTGAATTAAATGTTTCATATCCAATGAAATTTGTGTCTAGAGCTGGAGAGATTAGAGCAAAGATCTCTACAAGAAAAATACAAAATTGTTTTTTTTTTTAAAAAATGTAAGGCCTCAATTTAAAATATAATTAAGACTTGACATATTAAAGTGCAACAAGTTAAAACATTAAACTAGTCATTGACTTTTACAAAATAAGTCAAAATTGGAGGTAATACATTACTCTTCCATAACCAGTCTTATCTGGTCACTACATTTTTTATTTCACTCTCATCCTTAAGAGTTAAATATACCCAGATGCATGGAAGAAACAGCTAGAAATCGGCCTCCAGTTAGTGGGGAAAGGGTATGGTTACCAAAAGGCAGAGGGGGCTTATTCATTATTCAAATAATAAATAGAAAAATCTTAATCACTCTATACAGCTGTACAAAGCCCTCGTATCACTGATTTTCACAGTGATTAAAAATACCCAAAACAAACACCTGCTGCCCCTCGCCTGGCGGGGGCTTCTCCTCTGCTCTCAGGTACACCACCGGGTGGGGGCGGGGCCCACAGCTTCCTGCCGGCCTGGGGGGGAGGGGGGACACAGGCTGCAGCGTTTGCCCCTTCCACTGGGCTACCTTTCCTTTCCCTGGCACGGAAGATATTCTGTGAACACTTCAAATAAAGATGATGATTTTTAACAAAAGCCACCCCCACTCCTGCTCCCGCCTTAATCCAGCCATGGAGAACAATTCCCAGCACTGCTTGGGGAGGGGCTTGTGAGTGCGCAGGTATGTGTGCGTGTGAGTGCGAGTGTGTGTGTGAGTGCCTAGGTGTGAGTTTTTGTGGGTGTGTGTGTGGCCATGTGAGCGTGCGTGTGTGCACGGGCGTGTGTGTGCGCCCAGCACGCAGAGCCAAAGCCCGGACGAGTCACCTGTTGTGTTAGCAACAGAGCAGTGTTTCCAGCGCTCTTTGGCCAGGGTTCCGCTAGTTCCTGGTGATTATTACCCCTCCTCTTTGGATTTTGGAAATTGGGTTGACTTTGAGTTTCCAGGCTCTCCAATACCCCCAACATTTTTCTGACTTGGGAGAAAATCATAAACGTAGCACCACGTCGCAGTTCAGCAGCAGGCGGCCACCGGGCGGCCCTCACTTGCGCTCCGGGCAGGGGTGCTAGCGGCCTGGGCAGGTCCGCCCCCAGGCAGGGGGTTTCTGGGGCTAAACACACTATGGGGTGGGCATCTGAGAGGCATTTTCGCAGCTGCTTACTCCCTTTGAGAAGCAAGGACACCTGCGGGCGCTCAGAGGCGGACTTCCGGGGAGAGGCCACAGGTGCGGGAGGGAGAGGCGGGCCGCGCGGTGCGCAGGAGGCGGGCGAGACAGGCTCCCTGCGTCCGCGCGGGCCTCTTCGGCGCACAGGGCCCGGGAGGAGGGACGGCGGCCAGACGGGATGTGCATCTCCCACGAGGACCCCAGGTGGGTGGAGCGCGGTCCGGAGGTGGGGACGCGCGTGAGGCCAGCCCTGTCGCGGGCTCACAGCGTGCTCAGGTGAGGCAGCGCGCCCAGGCGTCCAGCCCGGTCCCGCGCTGCCGCCGCCGACTCCACGCCGCGCAGCCACTCGGTGCACTTGCGCACCAGGCCCTCGTCCAGGGGCTCGGTCTCCTCCTCGTACTCCACATCATCGTACTTGTGCCGCTCGTTGAGCAGCGACACCTTGAGCACTGAGCGCAGGTCGGCGGGCCGGCTGGGCTCGGGCGCCTGCAGGCCGCCGGGCAGCAGCGGGAAGCGCGATGGTCGGCGGCCAAGGCCCGCGGCCGGAGATGCGTCGGGGATGCTAGCGGCGCCGCCCCTGCGCGGACTGGCGGCCCTGCCTACGGGACAGGGGGCGAGTAGGCGCCTAGAGTCCGCCGAGGGCGAGGGGAAGGGCCTGCGGGGCCGCGCCAGCAGCTGCTTCTCCAGGTGGCGCCTCTGGATGACCAGGACGGCCTCGGGAGTGAGGCTCAAGGAGAAGCGCACGGCGTCGTCCGGCCCGGACCCTGCTCCTGCCGGCGTCGAGATCCCCGAGGCGGTGGCCCCAATCCTCGAGGAGGTCCCCGCGCGGGCGGCCCTCGCCGGGGTGTGGCCAGGGTTGGCTGGCCGGGGCGTGGCGCACGTGGCTGGAGCCCGCGCGCGGCCCGGCGAGATCTGGGGCAGGGCGCGCGGAGGGGCTGGAGGCTGAGTCCTGCCCGGTCCGGGGCCGCGCCGGGCTGGCGGCCTCTTCAGCGTGGCTGAGGGCCAGGAGCTGGAGAAAAGCACCTCGGGCCTCTCCGGGGACCTCCTCTTCTTCTCCCCGGAGGCGGCGGGCGGCGAGGGCGCGGGCTGCGCGCTGGGCCTCCGGGGCTGGCGCGCGCCGGGGGCGGGCGGCGGCGGCACAGGCGGGAAAGGCATGGTGCAGCGGAGCCGGCGGGTCAGCGGTACCCTGGAAAGAGAGGCGGGGTCTTAGTCACCCTGCGCGGAGCCCGGTCCCCTGCCGGGCCCGGCGCCCTCCTCTCCGTCGCCGAGCGTCGGCCCTGGCTCGCTCCACCTGCGTCCAGCCGCAGCATCTCTGGCACCCTCACATCCCCGCGCCCAAACCCGGGGCTCCGAGCGAGGGCGTCCCCAACCCTTCCCACCTCCTGGGGGGGCGCCGGGGGCTCCCGCAACTCGCGCGCTCCCGGGGCTGGACCCTGCGGGCACCGCCTCAGCCGTCCGACTGTGGGCGCGTCCGGGCGCCGCTGGTCCACTGGGCCGAGCAGCGCGGGGTTGGCCGGGCGGCGGGAGGAGGAGCCGAGCGCGTCCGCTGAGGACGCGGCCTGCCAAGCCCGGGGCCGCGCCAGGACCGACTGTTGCACGCAAGTGCCCGGACAGCGGCGGAAGCCGGGCACCAGCGTCCCAGCAGCTCCCCCGGCTGGCTGTCTCGTGGCCAGAGGTTCTCTCCACGGGGAGCAGCCCCCTGGGGAGCTGGCTGTGCCTCGGGAAGGTGAAGTCCCTGCGCCTTAGAGAGAAAACCCCTTAGCCTCTTAGTGCTTTGACTTGTGGGGCAGAAACTGCGGTCAGTCTAGCTGTGCGGCCCCTGGCGGGGGGACACTGCAGGGAGCTCATGTACTGTCGATGCCACTCCTCAAAGAGTCACTTTAAAATTAAAAACCCAGTTTTCTACCTATGAATAGGCAAAAATAGTTCAGTTTCAGTTATATGATGATGATGACTTAGGAAATGTTAGACATTAAGTCCTTTTATTGAGTAATTACTGTGAACAAAGCAATATTGATCGTTATAGCAGTGATTTAAAACGAGACTAATCTTCACTGCCAACTTACATTCTAGTTGTAGACACATGAAAACACGCCTGCAATATTCAAATGTTTGTTGAGTAAATGAACACTTGATTGAACAATGACAGAGCAATACAGCAAAGGTCAAACTTTCATATAAGCAGCCCCTGCAGTTACTTAAGGATAATTATCAGTTGTTTAGAATCCACAAAACACTTGTCCATCAGCTATGCGTTTCTGGGCTAACCTGGGAACATGGCCAGGTCGTGTGACTGTTACTGCCCCAGGTTAGCTCCAAAGCATATTCAGATTTGGGTAAACAGGCCAAGCATGGTGGCTCCTGCCTATAATCCTAGCACTTTGGGAGGCTGAGGCTTGCTCAAGCTCAGGAGTTTGAAACCAGCCTGAGCAAGAGCGAGACCCCTTCTCTACTAAAAAAAAAAGAAAGAAAGAAATTAATCGGCCAACTAAAAATATATATAGAAAAAAATAGCTGGGCATGGTGGCACATGCCTGTAGTCCCAGCTACTCGGGAGGCTGAGGCAGGAGGATTGCTTGAGCCCAGGAGTTAGAGGTTGCTGTGAGCTAGGCTGACGCCACGCCAGGGCACTCTAGCCTGGGCAACAGAGTGAGAGTCTGTTTCAAAACCAAACAAACAAACAAACAGATTTGGGTAAACACAACTGTCCCCTGAGCTGACAGTCACATTAGGATACCAACCCCCCCCCCCAGCTCCTCCACTGCAGCAGCACCTCCCCCACTCGGCTGTTGGTAGCCTCAGGGGAACTGGATAGGTACAGATACATTGGCTGGAAACATTTCTCATCAGTGCTTGGAGTGAGTGGGAAAAATGTTAAGGCCCCGTAACCTCCACCGGCACCTCCCAAACCACCTGGCACGTTTACTTATTCTCCATAAACTAAGCAAAGCCAGCCTCCCAGCTCCACACCCCTGCCAGGAACCGGGGCAGGTGGGGGGGAGGGGCAGCCTGCCTCCGCCCTGGGCCCAAGCTGGTAATTAGTATGCTGGACAGCTGAGGCCATGTGATACTGAGAGCAAACATGGTTTCACCCCAGGTTTCATAATGTCTAGGTGGGGTGGGAAGACGAGTGTCAGAGGAGGCAGCAGGCAGACAGTCCTGTGCCAGGAGAGGGGGGACTGGACGCCAGGGTGAGGTGGGAGGACTGGGGTGGGGAAGGTGTCACATACCACTTCTGGGGGTGCAGCTGGAGACGGAGCTACAGAGAAAAACCCACAAACAGCCGGACACCCCAGCATTTGAGTATGGACCCCCACAGTTCAAAAGCTTGTCTCGGTTGGCCTCGTGCAGAATTGGTGGGCTGCTGGGGTCCTCTCTCTTCTCATTTCCTAACTCTCAGGACGCTTCGGCAGTAATGACCGTTTGGGGGTAGGGGGGTTTGGTGGTCTGATAATAGCTAACGAATGCTGACGGGAGGGCACTGGCCACGCAGGCTCCCAGCTTCCATCACCCTCTCTGCTCCACTGGGACACGGGGCCCACAGAGGGGAGGCGCCCACCAAACACCGCACCAGGGGTGGAGGAGACGGGACTCAATCCCCAGATGTGAGTCCAAAGCCAGATGGGATCTACTACACTGAAGGAGACAAGGAAAAAGTCTGTTGGTGGTGGCGACTGGACTAAGTGACCTCCCATTCCCACCCCCACCACCAAACTAGTAGAGATCCGGGCATTTGCGTGCCAGGAAGAGACAGCGAGCGTTTAGCAGATTGATGCGCAGGTCTGATCAGACTCGGAGCGGGGGTTCTCCAGGTCCGCCCCTACAGCTTGCCCCAGCCCAGACGCTTGGAAACTTGGGAAGCTGTGAGTCTGCCTGACCCTTGAGAGGCAGAACGGTGACTGCTGGGCACCTGCGACTCTGTCCCCAGGCCAGGCAGGAAGGGCAAATGCTCTTCCCTGTCTGCCCTGGAAGCCCCAGAACAAGCGGGGCCGTCAGTGAGGGCTCAGGAGCGGCAGTACCTGGAGGCGGGCTGCTGCCCCAGGAGAGGTGGAGGACGGACCATCTCCAACGGGGCTCTTCAGTCTGGACTCTGATGAAAGCACCAGTGGCGGCGTCACTCGTCCCCTGCCCAGCTCCCTCTGCTACTTGAATCTTCAGCCCCTTATACACGCCCTGGAAGTTAGAAAGACTGGCTGGGGCCTGGAAAGGAATGTGGGGAAAGGGCATTTGCCGCTGGCCCTCAGTCAGCGCAAGGGCTGTTAAAGAATCCGTTACACATTCTATTTGGTCGACTTGGTGACAGTTACCAGCAAGGAAATCACACTTAGAGAAGACAGACAAAGTTAACTTTAGAATAGGGGATGTGCCTGAAAAGTGAGGCGAGTCAAGAAATATAGTCAAATTTAATGCATAATTCACATGGGATTTTTGTATGACATGCCCAGAACACGACGGTGACAACTATTCATATGTTGAATAGTAAAGAGTGAACACTAGAATACTGAAATCGACTTATCAGAACCATATTTTTGGATTCACCAGATTATAAGACAAGAGTCCTCAAACTTTTTAAACAGGGGGCCAGTTCGCTGTCCCTCAGACCGTTGGAGAGTGGGCACTGTGGGCCTGGGACGAGTCGGCTGCTAAGCAGGACAGGCAGCTGCGGCAAAAACACCCGGCCGGCCAGATAAATGTCCTTGGCGGGCGGCATGTGGCCCGAGGGCCGTAGTTGGAAGACACCTGTTATAAGAGTTGACTTCTAAAATATGTTTCTAAAATACATTTTGTCTGAGGTTACTAAATTTACTATCTCAAATAAGCTGATTGGATTCGGAAGATCAAGTAAGCAAAACCAAATACAACCGACCCTTGAACAGCATGGGTGTGAGCTGTGAGGGTCCACTCATTTCTGGATTTTCTTCCGCCTCTGCCACCCCTGAGACAGCAAGACCAGCCCCGCCTCTTCCTCCTCCTCCCCGGCCCACACAAGGTGGAGATAATGGGAAGAAGACCTGTATGATGATCCGCTTCCACTTAACGAAGAGTAAATATATTTCTTCTTTTTTATGACTATCTTAATAATATTGGCTTACTTTATTGTAAAAATACAGTGTATAACACATACACACCATCTTTTTCTTTAAGCCAGTCAAATTTGGCGGTGGGAAACACACACCATCTCAAGACCAAAGGACTTACGCCCCCAAAGAGCTGCTGTATTTGTGGCCTCTGCCTATTTATTATATTAACCTTATTAGGAATTTAAACTGACTTTAGATATTAGTATATTACATGTTAACAATAAATCCATTATGTTAACATATTTTCAATAAAAATATTTTCTAAAGCAACTGAGAGACAAGCAGTGGGCTTACTGTCGAGCTGCGGGGATCAGTCCTGAGCCAGCTGAGGCCACTGTGCCCCGGGGCTCACAGGTGAGAGTAATAGCCTCTCAGCGCTGCTAGGAAAGCAGACCTGGAGGGCTGCGGGACCCCGGGCGTGCCTGGAGCACACACTGAGAAGTGCTGCGCTGCCGGCGTGCCTCACAGGGCACCCCCAGCTCCCGTAAGTCGGCCCCTGAGCCTGGCTGGTCAGCACCCTGACCTGGCTGTCCGCTGGGGAAGAAACTTAGCATCCTGCTTATAACCACCTGGAACAGAGTGAGCAAACAGGAACATCGGATCACACAGGAAGAAAAGTCAGACTCTGCTAGTTAAAATGATATGTCTTAGGTTTATATTACACTTTATTTTTTGCAAAGCTTCGTGGTTTTTGAAATTTTTTATGTGCTCACAGTACTCTCATGTGGTAGGTAGAAGCAGTAACCATTAACACAAGTTTTTAATATACTATGGATGGAATCTGTGTGCTACTTAAGGCTTACTTAGAAATAGTGAGTGAGCGGATGCCTACAGGAAACCAACCTGGAGCAAAATTTAGTCATCTGTTGCAAACAGCGCCAGAGTGAAAGACAGTGATGCTGATCACAAAACCTAAGCGGATCCAGAGGACCTCTGGTAGCAGTGACATTAACACCTGCGAGAAGCTTGCTGCCCAGAGTAACCATGGTGTGACTTCCTGAAGCAGAACAGTTCTTTGTCAACTGCATCCTTCCCTGGTAATTTGAAGTCCTTCCATTATACGTTAAATACAAACACTAAACATTTCCCACATGAGGTTCGTAGTTTAATTTGCTGCCTCACCTCACCCAAAAGCATCTAAGTCGATCCATAAACAATTCACGTGAAAGCAGAATCAAGCACAGGGGAGGCTCAGGAACACAAGTCCCCACAGGTTAGCCGTGGTCACTGCCGTACAGAGGGGTCCAGTTCTGACACCGACACCCCCAGGATCTGGGATGCTGCCACCAAGCCTTGTGCTGACTGCTGACACCTGTCACCAGCACAGCTGTGGCCCTCAGCACCACCTCTGGCCGACTCCTGCGGGGCCGGGCCGAGCCATGGCCGCCTGCTCTGCTAGCTGTGACACTCGGGCCAGGGCGGACGGGACATGCTTTCTCCGTTGCTCTGAAGAAGGAGTGGGGACTGGAAACCACCCTCCTTTGTTGGTGCCCTCCACTCAGCCCCGAGTCGTCACGTTCCCAGTGTCGTGAGGCGTGTGCAGATGTAGCCTTTTCCCTGATCCCCGGCAGTGCCCTCACATCGCTGCCATGGCTGTTTCTTCGTAGCCCGGGTCCTGACTGCCAGGTGCCTTCAGCCAGAGGAGCCAGGTGCTTATGGCGAGAGATCTCAACATCTTGGGGATCCCTCTGAGGGTCTGGGAAAAGCAAGGTTAAGCACAGGGACGGTGAGTTTTGCAGGCCTCGTGCGTGCAGGGCTGGGGCCGGAGACCCGCGTGCTTACCTGTGGCCTGGCGGTGAGCCCGTGGCAGGAACTCCTCCTCTCACGTGAGCTGACCTCAAGAGACACGCTGACACGGGAGCCGTACTCATTGGGCCAAAGGGACAGGTGTGATCTCTAGCTAGAAGTGAAGGAAGAAGAGGGCACCGTGGGACACAGAAGAGGAGATGTGACCTCGTCAAGGACTGGACTCCGACTCACAGAAGCCAGAGGTCACGACAGCTACAGGACCCCTCCCGGTGGCCCGTCTGTCCTGAAGCCATGTGCAGGAAGTAAGTCTCCAGGGGAATTCTCATCGAATGAACGAGGTTAAGCTGTAACTTTCACACTATTAATAAAATAGGCTACACCCCAAAGGAGGTCCTAGCACGGGCCTCTGCAGACCCTTCACCCTTGTCCGTTCCTGCTGCGGACGCAGACCCAGCCTGTCTCCCTCCCACCAGTGGGCTCTGAAGCCTCCCGCCGCAGGGGCAGAGACCCCTGGGCCTCGTTCAGCCCCGACCCTCCCGGGCGCTCACCTGAGGCGGCAGGTCCCCTCTGCACGCAGGCACAGCGGGCTCGGCGAGGTCAGGAGTCACAAGGGCATCAACCCCCGCCTGGCGTGGAGTCTGTGTTCGCGGATTCCTAGTCCTTTCCACCCCAAGGCCTTCTGGACACCCCCGGCAAGCCTGCCCGCTGCTGGCGTCTGGGCTGGGACTGAGGACAAGTGTCCTGCCACCCAGGAAGCCTGAGAGCTCCAAGCAAGGCGACTCCCCTGGCTGAAATCGGGTATCTCTCTCTCCACCACCTTTGTGGATTTAATAACGACTTCTCTGTCCCAAGGCCATACCCCTCACCCCACGGTGGGCACCTTGACCCAGAGGCTACTCCAGGTTCTGCCCTGGACGCTCCCGCACCAGCACAGCAACAGGCTTCAGAGGCGGTTTCTGGATACACCTGGCTCCGAACCCAGCTCCGACGGCGGCCTCCAATCCAATTTGCCTTTCCTTCTTGGGAGACCAGGCTTCCTTTCCAGGTGAGGCGCCTGGCTCCCTGCTGTCATCTGTGTGATCTGCCCCTGACCTGGCTCGGGACCCTGGCTCTGCGTCTGCCACTAGGCTGCCTGGATTTACCCGTTTCAGGTCGGCCTCCCGCCACACTGACCCCCGGAGGGCCTTCTGCCTCCAGCAGGCTGAACCCGCAGCCAGCGCAGGGCACAGGGAAGCCAACGATGCCGCGTCCATTTGAAAAAGTCTACTGAACAGACATTTCTCAGTGACAGAGTCCTAATTCTGCTTCTTCCTTGTGGAACGTTCCTGTGGCCATTCTTGCTGCCAACAAGAGAGCAGAACAGCAAGGCAGCCCGAGAGGCCAGACACGCCTCCCCCCACCCCCCGCCGCCCCGAGGCCGAGCCTGCACACGCTGCTCACCCTGGGCGCGCGGCTGCTAGTCTGCGGGCACCAGCCAGGCACGCGTGGGGCGCTCCGCACCTGGATGTTCTCCCGAGCTTCTCTGAGAACTAAGAGCTTCTATTGTCCTTACTACCATTGTCATCTATTGTCCGAACCCAGATTCTTATTCAAGCTCAGGGTGAAACTGCAGCTCCACGCCGTGTTTTCTGCAGGCCCGCCTCCTCCGTGTTGTGCCCGCACACGCCACGCTTCTGCCCCCAGTGCCACCCTTCCCAGGGGCTGGCCGAGCTGCCCATTGACACGCGGCACCTCCTGTGGGTCTCTCTGCAGCCACAGGCCCCGCACCTCGTAACAGCTGGGAACGTCTGTCTCTCCCACAGGTGTGGGCTCTGCGGCACTTTCACCTAGCACCAGTATCGCACGCGGCGCTGCTGACTCCCGGAACTCCTCTCTTCCTACGGTCTTTCCCGACTGGGGAGCCTCCGACTTCCAGGGTCCTCTGGCTCTGACCCCAGCCCCCACTACTGGACTACCACGTGCCCCCACGTCCTGCAGACTCTGCTGTCTGTGCCTGCTGAACCCTCCAGAACATTCTCCCCATGGCGTGTTCGCTAGGGTAAGATGCAGGGAGCCATTCTCTCATCACCCCTTTGTGGGCTCTTTCCCGACTCCCATTAGTCCAGACGGAGGCAGCCCCCCCCCCTGCACTCCTGTACTGTGCGGCCTCCGCCCGCCTGCCCTTTCCCTGCTCGCCACGGTCCTTGGCAACTGACTAGACTAGGGCTGCCTCCATGACGCCAGGGCTTGAGGGGACAAGGAGGGAGCTGGGCAAGTTCTCCTCCCTCTCTGCCTCTCCCCCAAGGCTCCAGCCCTGCCAGACAGCTCTCCCTCCTGCTCCCGTGGGCCCTGCCATGACTGGGTCCGGTTGCCTCACTTACCCGGCACCCTCGCAACTACCTCCTTCCCTGCGCGCCCCGGCACGGGCTATGCTTTCAGGAGAGAGGCTGTGTCCCAGTCAGGTGCCTACAGAGACTGCACAGTGCCGCAACTAAATTTTATTGAATCACTTTACCATATTACAAATTTGACTCAGAAAATGTTATTTTTCCAAGGGTGGGTTTATTTCAAAATTATAAAGATTTATATATTATTTTTTATTATACATAAGAAGCAATTTTAGCTTAAAAAGTTTCACATTTAAAGTTTTAAAAAACATGATGGCTTAAAAATGTAGACATTTTTAAGAAGCCAAAAAAAAAAAGCTGAATATATGCTGCAGCACAGGATTATCCCTCAAATATTCACATTTCAAAAGATGTTTTGAAAAGATTAAAAAGCTGGCTAAAAATAAT